CACTTAGCATAATATTTTCAAGATTCATCCATGCTGTAGTATCTAACAGTACTTCATTCCTTTTTTATGGCTGAAAATACTCCATTGTGTGGCTATGCCACATTTCATCCATTCATCAGTTGAGGGACATTTGGGTTGTTCTCACCTGTTGGTTATTGTGAATAATTCTATGAACATTCATGTACAGTACACATGTGTTTTGTGTAGTCATACTTTTTCAGCTCTTTAGGGTATGCACTTAGGAGTGGAATTGCTGGGACATATGGTAATTGCACTTTGTGAGGAACTGCCAGACTGTTCTACCCAGTGGCTGCACCATTTTACATTCCCAACAGCAACAAAAAAAGGTTGTCCACATCCTACCAATACTTTTTGTCTTTTAAATTATAAAAACTATAATCAATCTTTATATGAAATTTTGCTGGTAGAAAAGTATAGCCACCATATTTTCACATTTTCAGGATTAGAGGCCTATTTAGTACAAAATCAGCATTTTAATCTAAATCTTTATCTTTGACCTCCTGAAGGCTGCAATCAGAATAATTCTACAACTGAGTTATTTACTTTAATCTCTAGGTTAATCTTTAAAAATTAGTAGTTATGGCTTGAGCTTTTGCCAGCTCTCAGGTGGAATTTATTTGAAGTTCCAGCTATATCTGAAAAAACTCACTAGATACCATTTTAAAATTATTTTAAACCCCTTGACTGTATTTCCCTGCCCTAGACTGTTTTTAATGCCCTAGACTGTTAAATAATGTTATTAAAACAACTGCAAAATGCAGATTTTCCAAGGTAATAAACACACGCAGTAGCAAAATTCTTTGCTTTGCTTTATAAGTCACGCTGGCTGCCACCTTTGAAGGTATTTCTGAATTACCTGTTGATATAATGAATCAAACTCTTTAGGGAGGGCTCTGTGAGTCAGAAAAGTCATCTACCCTCTTAACAAATTTTTGAGTGTACCATACAGTATTGTTGACTAGGTACTGTTGTTTGGAATCCCTAGAAATATTCGTCTTGCGTACTGAAACTTTATGTCTGTTGATTAGCAACT